TTTTGTACTCTATTTTCTACGCTAATCTCCAGTTTTGGACATAATTGTGTTTTCCTAATTATTGTACGTTGTGGTCGGGTTAGTCATCTATTTATCCATTTATCTTTTTACACTAATCTGAAATCGGGAAATCGGGAACCAGACCGGAATTGAGAATAAATCGAGTAGTGTTCCAGTTGACTTGTGTTCTCTCATTTGCGTGCTTGTCAGCGAATCAAGTGATAGAATAGTTTTCTTTTATCTACCCCACTTCAAACCCATGCTTACTAGCATCAAGATTATGCCGGTCAGCCTATCGTGTCAAGGTCGTGACAAGTTATCCTCAGCACCAAAAATGGATAGACAGATCAAGGATATAATAGTTAAAAAAAACAACAACGGAGGAATTCTTTTTTAATAATGTTTCATTTACTAAACAAAGTGGTTTATTTATGAAATGTGCATTTGTTGGGGACGTTAGATCCCCAGAACTCAGATTTTGTAATTTTCTCTTTATGGAGCTTTTATGCAGATGTATGCTTGGGCATTTCTTACCACCCACGCAAATAGTCGATTGACGAACTTATCGATCAAATGTTTAAAAACTTCCATGGCAATATCGATTATATATATTTTGTATAAATACGCTTGATTTGTGTGCTTGATGGACCTGGTATCTTCTGGTTGTCTGTAGAATACACTTTATACATCTTACCAAGACTTCTGGATCGAGTTAGTTGAGTCTGGGTCAACGGACCAGTATAGCCTATTGAGTCTCTGAATCCTTGATTCTTCGTTCCGTTCCGCGTAAGACAAATCACTAGTAGCATTCAAGTTTAACGAACATAACAGCATTGTTCTTCTAGACATTATTATTAGAAGAATTGATTTATTACAATTTCACTAAATTCATATTGTCGAATTTCGATTATGAGTTATAATTGGGAAAATGCTGAACTCTTGAACAGAGCCATGAAATTTATAGATTAATTGATAAATTGAAACGGACTAGAAGTTGCATTAGTTCTGAGATTCAGACCAATCAATTGAGTCACGTGGAAAATACAAAATTACAGCAAAGGATTTGTCGATAAAATGAACCCATTATTAATGAGAATATAAGTAGTTCATTTTACAAACTGCAGTTCATACAGTGTTTTAAGCTTTTACATGGATCAATGTATGATGGACAACGATGTGTTTCAATAAACAAAGTAACAATAATGGGAATTAACAGATCGAAATGAGAACTAAATATGCAAAATATGACAAACCATTAAGAATTTCAAGGGAATAAAATTAAAATAATAAATAGAGTAGAGTACATGTCACAGATTCATTGGACATATCACAAATGATAAAAGAAGGGATGTTCTCAGCTATAAGTTCGAAAATGATTGATAATAATAGTAAGTTACGAAATTCTGTATGTATTATAATACACTACACAAAACATCAGACAAGAAGAAGATAAAAGTATAAAACTTAAGTAAGAATCAACATTCAATCTACCACTTGATCAAGAAAATATTCCATAAATTTAAGGTTAAATGTCAACCAAATAAACTGTCAAACATTCACTACAGAATGATTCAATTCAATCAGATAACACAATATCAATGAAATCTCTCTTTTTGTGAATTACTATATTCAATTTGCACACTTGAAATGTTTTGTCACAGTTAGTAACTACTTTATACCTTCATAGATTATTCTAGTTTTTTTTGCCAGATCAATTAATCTATTTTTTTATGTCATAATCCACACACATATATAGATGACCTTGGTATTTTTTTTATAATATTGGTTGCTTTTCGCTAGGTTTGAAGCTATCACGAGTTCACTTAATCTGCGACCGAGAAGCAAGACTCGGTGATCAAACACCAGTAAGCTAGCTATTGATGCGTCCCAGCCCTGCTAACTAGAGGGAGAAGTTCAAACTTGGAATGGGAAGTATATTCTAAAAAACAGCTAGAAACGAGCGCTAACAACAACCACGATTCAAACGTATATATACAGTGCAAACCCGTCCTTGGGGAGAATTACCAAATAGCATACTGAAAGACACAACGGACCAATAGAATTTAAGGTATTTCCCAGTGGGAAATACGACATGAAGGTGACAAGAGCGGCTTTGGCGCGAAAACAAAGAAATTCAGATTTTCTAAATAAAATTACAAAATTAGATCCCTTCCCAAGTGAGTTCTGGGATCTAACGTCCCCAACACTTTTATATAAACGTATAAGCGGATATGTGCTTATTGCTTCATCACATAACTTTAGCTTGTTTTTCCATCTGATTATAAGTAATAAATCAGGCTTTATTTAAATGACTTGAAACATTTACTTTTTCTGTTCTACTTCATTCCTCTTATCATCTGTCATCCGTGAATTTGACTTGTTTTATACGGCTATTCAGTAATGAGAATTAAGTTAATGCATAAGTATGAGGCTAAACAGGATACATATTTCGTTAACATCGTAATTCCATCATAGTGTAATCAGATAACGGGCTTATAGTTTCTCCTGTAATGTGGTTTTTTTTTCAACATTTAGTTTGGTGTTTTCCAGTTGTACCAGAAAAATGTCAACCATTATAGAACTTGGTGGACTGCTTATTGTAGCATCTGTTTATTGAAAATGCTTTATATTTAGTTGAAATTACACCTGTTACATCAATCCTCTTCTAGTGAGACTTAAGTAAATAAGGTCTTCATACCAAATGTAATCGCATACTTTCCTCTTAAATTAATGCTAACAATCCGAAGTCAAAACTGTCTTTCTTATGGATCCAGTCAACTGGGCAAGCCATCGAGCAAGCTTTATGGTACTTTGTATTACTCATGACTAGGACTGGTCGTAGAGGCATAGCATTTTTAAGAGTTCTGGGTAGACCATACAACCTCGGTACACAAGAATCTCATGGTTTTGAATAACCACAGGTCGATTCATCTGCTATTTCTACTTCGGGAGCTGATTTAAAAGCTGACTAATCTCCATTCAGTTTGCTGTCATTTGGTAATTGTCGCATTTTTGAGAGGTATTCGTTTTTATACAAAACAACAAAACTGGAACCTTGTTCATACTTTAGGAAGACCATTCCGTCATTTTTCTTCAGATCATTATTAATAGCTTCTCTTTGTTCTTTCGGTAATGTACACAAAGAAGCTCCTAGTGTGATTGTTTATTGGTTCGTTAAGTTCACAACCCTAGCTCTGAGTTAGATTTTTTTACTATTCGACATGGAATTGGATCACATAACTATTTATTCGAATTCTCATTTATACTTACATAATTATGAAAAAACAACATTTTTATGGCTTATTAAGTTCATTTTCCAGTCTCTTTCTACATATGAACAAATGAAACTACCTTAATTTCTTGATATTTGCCAAGCAAAAATAGAATTCCATACGAGAATTTTTAGGTTACTATTTAAAGTGGAAATTAATTACATGAAAAATGTGGACAAGAAATGATACAATGAATTTTCAGTTTTTTTTTTGAATTTGGCATGACAAATAGTATAGGAGCTAATCTAGGAATTTTGTAAATGTAGATATACTACTTTATAGTAGTATGGTTATTCAACATTAGTTTAGGTGACAGTTCAGATGTGGTTCATTTGCAAACAAATCAGTTTTCTTCGGTCGAATAAATAATTAAGGGTAATGGGATACAGAACTGGGCTTTCTAGACGTTAATTAGTTGTATTTCTCTCAGATATGGATATCTATGTTGTATATGTAATTAATATATATGTTCATATCCCCAGAGCACATATGTAACCAACCTTATGAGTTTCATTAATTACCATTTCTTCACTTCTCTGTAATTTAGGGGATGATTGTATAAGGAATATAATCTCTTATTTGGGATGCGTTGCAGGCTGATAATATAATGTCAAACCCGGACAGACTGGTTTACTCTTCTTGAGCCACATTATCCACTTGTAACATTGACTGTTTTTATGCGTATATGCCCATCGCTTACTCTATTCATCACGTCTTGAGTTTATTTTTATTTAGCTATAAATATTGAGACGCGCTTAATCAAATAGACTTGGTATTCTTCCCCTCTCTGCTACTTATTTCTAATGTCTGTCTGAAATAAATCCATCCAACTTAACCCATATTTGGCTTCCTATTACCACTGTCGAGCAAAATGGTTAGACTAGGTGTAATGTAAGGAGTTAAGTAGAAGATTTATGATGATAGCATATTTATGCGTTCATCCAAATCGGTGTCAGATCAGTGGGCCACAAAGATAACTCATTTTATAAACTAGTGTTTAAGATTAAAAAAATAGGTGTATAGTAGTAAAAGCTTCTTCTATACGAACTCAATGCTGGGGGAGTAGAAGGAACCTATGTCAGTGAACCAGTTGAAAGCCAAGACTACCCTGTAAGCTCTCAGTGTCGATCATGCTAACCTAGGTGCTTTAGTGGTTAAGTCAAGTAATTATTCAATAAAGGGACTTGAGAAGAATAAATCAGGACCTCGTCTGGTGCATCTTTCCCTAAGCTATCGATTTTAATGACCAGATAGTGTGGCGGATACGATATATATGAGTCGGATAATGTACTGAACAAATTACACTAAATCAACCCCATTGGGAAGGGTACTTTAGCTGAAACATTAATTCTCTAGAATGGATGAATTGTGACTACCAATGGAGTCCAGGATACACACATCCTACGTGGAACTCGTCAACTGGATACATCGGGATGCGTGTTGATGTTTACATTGAAATTTGAAACAAGCACCTTTCGCTTCACACGTTTTTTTACTGAGTGTCTAGGTCCAGACAGATTTTAATCACTTTTGAGATATACACAGATTGCTCCAGTATAGCCACGTTTCCTGAATAGATGGATTGAATAATGCCATGATTTTTCATTCAAAGCTACCGTATTATAATTTAAGGAAGTTTGCAGATGAGTCAGTTAGTTGCAATTTCCTCACTGTTTACAAACAATAATTCATTATTTGGCGCAAACGAAACTGTTAGCAGTAATCATTGAATGCAATAGGCATATAATTAAATGGACGGAAATTTCAAATAATATTCTGAGGTTTTTAACAAGTAAATTTTCCTTATAGGATCAATGTTATAGATTCATCAGGGCCAAGAGAGAAAGTGTCGCTGTTATCGTAAATCATACCAGAATGATTGGAGGTTGAAGATGATTGTTGAATCACTAAACTATTGACTAACACATAATGTAATAGAAACAAATAATAATCAAGTTATATCTCTACTAATTTTACTGAAAGAACACAGGTAATACATTACTAATCATTTTTTATATTTCCAAAGAATAACGTCACGCTATCTATGCCTTACTGAACAAGAAAGAACAAATCACATAGACTAATAAGTGAGATAACAAGGAAACTGTAGATGAATACAATACAAAACATGACAACGAAGTCAAAAACATACATTGAAACGAAATCAAAATACACTAGGCTATCCTAGTGTATATATTCTCAATTAGAAAACAGAACAACTAGAGAGGAAAAGAAATTAAAAGACTATGTGATTAAGTAAACGATAGAAACATTGCAACTGTTATGTACAAAATATCGAGGCAGAGTAAAAAAAAAGTCAACTAGATCTTCTTTCATTAAAATTAATTACAAAATGTGAACGATTTGTGCCCACACAACGTTTAAATCAAAGAAATTATCGTGATATTTGTTGTTGTTGTACTGAGTTTAGTTGTTCTGGTCGTAAAGGAATCATGGAACCCAGATCGAATAGACCATATGGTGGTAGGAGATTTAAATCACCAGTTAATTTCCGGACAATATTTCGACCAAGTCCAACATCAATTAACAAGTGAGTTAATGAAGTGGTTGTGTTGGTTGATGTACCACTACTATTCAATGTGGCTTCAGTTGGAGGGATAGACACTGTAGGCGTTGTTGTTGAAGATGACGACGTTAAATGACCTTGTGGTGTCAGTATTGGTAAGCCCAATTCAGTCACCCAAACAAAGTGTTGAGCATTTCTTAACAGAATATTAGAATCAACAATGGACTGGGAAGGTGTTAAATGAATAATGCCACCAATGGAATTGTGACTGCGCAACCAATTAAATAATAAATTTGTATTTGATGACAATGATGAGTTGTCTTTATTTACAGTATTACTGTCATCTGAATGACCAATTATCACTAGGTCAATGCGTATACTACTTGGCAGTTTGGTAACAGCTGTAGAAGATTAAAAAAGAGAGAACAAGTACTAAAGTGAAGAGATCAATTAACCTCTAGAGATAACAAAAATCAACATTAATATAAAGTCAAATAGAATGCATTAAAGTGCTGTTCAAGTTAAAGTCGATGAACAGAATGCTAGTGGATAGATGAATGCAGTGATATGATGTATGGACGTGTGATACCTACTTATAGGACCGTATTATCGACTGAGGCCCTCTGAATGATTAAAAATTAAGGACAACTAGCCAGATGAATTGTTTTCCACGCAGTAACATGCTTATATATACAGAATAAACACACGAAATTAACATGTCATAGGCGATTGGAAGGAACTAGTTTACAGGTCATCCGTTCTCTAATCAATTAAGACTTGAATGTTCGGCCTAATCTTTGGATATCGCATTAAGTAAATAGACTGAATGAGGGAAAGAATGAAGTGATAGTTGTAAATCGGTAGCTAGGAAGGCAATATGGGATACTAAAATATTGGTGTATACATTTGAAATTATTGTTAGCAAGGAAATATCAACTGTAAGACTGTTAGTCTTTATACATACAGTTTATTGGTGAATTCAAAAATCTCCATAGACTGAGGTGGTTAGGACATGAATTAAGACATTTAATTGAAACAACCGCCAATTACAACATTTGATATCAGATGATATAGTAGCAGGCTGGGAAAAAAACTAACAGTAGCAAGATCAAGATATGGCATTAATCCATGAAGGTACTAACTGATTATTGGTCTGAGACATTTTAAAATATGTTGACATCATAGTTCAGGTCCATGAAATACTTGTAATCAATGGTTGGGATGTTGAGTACACAAACCTTTACTTAATAAATGAGTTAGATTATTTTTATTATCAGAGGTGAATCTACAGTTGGCACAAAACAAGCATTCATTGCTAGTTAATCATTACCACTTATCACTGAAATGAAGGTGAAGAATATGAACCGAACATACAAATATTTTATTTTATCTTAAGACTTGCCTATTAGCAGTATTCAATATAGTGGTTGACTTTTACAAAGTAAATGTTTATGAGATACAAACATGTTGGGTAGCTGTCCTATTATTTAGAAACATGTAGAACTGAATAAGTAGATCATAGACATTGATTACCTATAAAACTAACTAAATAAAAACCTACACACTTCATAAATATAACAAATGGAGTAATAACATTATGACAACAATCGTAAAGAACACAGGCATCTGTGACATTTATTAATGGCTTATACAACTAACATCTTGTTTTCTTTTTACTTGAAACTTAACAAACAAATAGAATTTAATACATGATTTTAAAGAAAACAAAAAAAAGAGATGAAACTATGGTGGAGTAAGTTATAGTAATTAATTAAAACTCTAAAACTATGTATAAATTTAAAAGTTCTACTTATTAGTATGGATTAAAAGAAACAGATAAGTAAATACAAACAACCAATTGTGTTTGTAAATGAATTAACAATCTATTTAACGTTAGAAAGAAACATACTTTAAAAAAAAACTATTTTCTACATTTTTCTAGATAATTTCTTCTAATTATGCTGTTATAGAATGGGAGAGACTTTATACTAAAATATTATTATTATGCTAATTTGTATGGTTTGTAATGATGGATCATTAACAAAAAATAAAGTGTATCATATCACGGAGAAGTACTTTCCAGATGTAGTTTATTGAAGACACAGAAAATAACAACAATCTAAAGCTACCAACTTAGACATAGAATACTGCTCAGATAAATAACATCATTAAGTAATTTAAACTGTTAATTATAAAACAATATAATTCAACCAGTCAGTCATAGGCAACATAGAATCGGACACTTGTGCATCAGTTCAAGTTCTCGTGCCACATTAACACAGTGAGGCAAAATTATTTCAAAACAAATCCCACAGTAGTAGAAAAATTAGTAACGATATCAGTGGTGCTACAAAAGACTAGGTAAAGGAAAAAACAATTCTGACCCACTCCACCTAAATCCTCTAACCACATAAATCGAATGATTTATGTGGCGCATATCTGTTCGGTGCCTCCTTGTACCAATGTTTATGTGTTTAAATCACAAATAAATAACCTCTAATCATTGGTTACGATGATCAGGCGAACAATAACCAGGTGGTTTACACGTATTAATATGGTTCAGTCTAGTTGTCAATGGCTTCATGGACTGGCTCTAGGTATGGGTTTGAATGGTCCTAGCTTTCCTCTAACCTAGCCTGAGAAATAGCTATCACATCCAAGGACGGCAGCAGGCGCGAAAATTACCCACCCCCGGCACGGGGAGGTAGTGACGAAAAATACGGATACGGGACTCAATTGAGGCTCCGTAATTCGAATGAGTACAATTTAAATCCTTTAACGAGGACCAATTGGAGGGCAAGTCTGGTGCCAGCAGCCGCGGTAATTCCAGCTCCAAAAGCGTATATTAAAGTTGCTGCAGTTAAAAAGCTCGTAGTTGGATCTGGGTCGTGCGGTCGCATGCCGCTGCTTGTTCACGGTTTTGGTTACGATCAGGACGTGTTCAGCTCGGTGTAGTGGCTGTGCAGCCTTTCAGCCGTGTCTGTGTTAAACGGGTGCTGGTGGGTTGACGAGTTCGTCTTGTTGACCTGTCGGCATGCTTCCGGATGCCTTTAAACGGGTGTCGGGAGCGGACGGCATCTTTACTTTGAACAAATTTGAGTGCTCAAAGCAGGCCTGTGCGCCTGAAAATTCTTGCATGGAATAATGAAATAGGACTTCGGTTCTATTTTGTTGGTTTTCGGATCCGAAGTAATGGTTAAGAGGGACAGACGGGGGCATTTGTATGGCGGTGTTAGAGGTGAAATTCTGGGATCGCCGCCAGACAAACTACAGCGAAAGCATTTGCCAAGAATGTTTTCATTGATCAGGAGCGAAAGTCAGAGTTTCGAAGACGATCAGATACCGTCGTAGTTCTGACCATAAACAATGCCGACTGATGATCCGCGTTGGTTCTATAATTGACATCGCGGGCAGTCCCCGGGAAACCTTTAAGTCTTTGGGCTCCGGGGGGAGTATGGTTGCAAAGCTGAAACTTAAAGGAATTGACGGAAGGGCACCACCAGGAGTGGAGCCTGCGGTTTAATTCGACTCAACACGGGAAAACTCACCCGGCCCGGACACTGTGAGGATTGACAGATTGATAGCTCTTTCTTGATTCGGTGGGTGGTGGTGCATGGCCGTTCTTAGTTGGTGGAGCGATTTGTCTGGTTAATTCCGATAACGAACGAGACTTTAACCTGCTAAATAGTAGACTGGTCCTCTGTGCTCGTTTAGGGCGCGGCTTCTATTGCTTCTTTATGGAGTAGTGTGGTCGTGATCCGGCGGGTGCGGTGCCAGTTTTTACTTCTTAGAGGGACAAGCGGCACACTTAAGTCGCACGAAATTGAGCAATAACAGGTCTGTGATGCCCTTAGATGTCCGGGGCCACACGTGCGCTACAATGACGGTGCCAGCGAGTCTGGGAACCTGGCCCGAAAGGGTTGGGCAAACTGTTTCATCACCGTCGTGACTGGGATCGGGGCTTGCAATTATTCCCCGTGAACGAGGAATTCCTGGTAAGTGCAAGTCATAAGCTTGCGCTGATTACGTCCCTGCCCTTTGTACACACCGCCCGTCGCTACTACCGATTGAATGGTTTAGTGAGGTCGTTGTAGTGGCTTTGCCGCTCGACTGATGCTGAGATAACCAGAATACTCTAGAATCTTCTCATGTAAAAACTACAAATATACTAACGTTTTCCCTATTGTGCTTCTTACTTCCATCTAACCTTTTTATTTGGAATATAATCTCTTTCCTGTTCAACCATGTTCTGATTTGGGGACTTGTCGAGTGAATTGGTGTCCGAGAATACTAAGCAATAGGAATAGCTGGGTCATAACCGTAAGAAAGAGATTATAACACACCAGAAGACACTGTCCGTCGAGGTAGCCAGTGGTTGGGCATGTATAACACACTTTTCGTGGTTTTATTCTCTGAGCTCAACAAAACTCCAAAATCATTCACCTGAGCTGCAAATCTCCACCATCTCATTTATAACACATGTCCAAACTAACTTAATTGATGAAAAGTCATTGCCTCATCAATTTTTTGTTGCGTTTACCTAGTAGCGTATGTTTAACTTTGGCATTGCTGACTTCGAAGATACCTATGGATGAATACCAGTAATCCAAAAATACCCTTTATTCTTAACGGTCATTTTTGATACTAATTTAGTAGAACAGAATAGACGGATATCTCGCTCATATCACAAGTGGTGCAGGTTATCAAAGACTAACCGAGCTTTCTAAATGTGCTGAAACCAGCTCATTAGAACTGATGAGGCTCTCAAGATCAGTGAAGCGGTTAATGTGTTCAACTACTTCACTTCCTATCATTAATTCAGGCGCTAGCAAACTGCCGCGTATTATACACGGCCCTTAGTTGGTGGGTGGATAAATCGTTTACACCAAAAGCGACACACACTGAGGAAAGTCAAGTGAGTTTTTCGAAATTATTGCCGATATTTCGTCAAACACTAACCTAAAAAGGTTGACGAAAATTCCAGGATAAATGAAGTGATTGACACACTCAACTAATTCAATTACTATCATCAATATTAGGAATCTAAGGAATAGTTAGCTGCAAAGAATGATATAACTGAGAAATGATGTTATTTATTCCTGTCTGTTTACTTGACTTCATTACCACGATTATAAGTGAGTTTGCAATGTTCAGTATTTATCTAAATTACAAAAACAACAGCCCAGAAAATTGTTAATAGATTGAAAAAAATGTGTACAAGTATACTACTTACAATTTGGACGACGTATAATTTTCAGTCCAGGCATACGACTCATCCATATACGTCCAACTGAACTATGATCGACAATACTACTGATATCGGAATAATTGAGACAACTCATATTATCAAAGTCAACATCATTATGTTCACGAATATTCGCAGAAGATGAACCAATACTGATACTATTATCATCAATTGTATGACTCCCATTATCATTATTATTAAATGTATAGAGTCCAGGTATTTGTTTATTATTCTTATTATCATGATTATTTTCGTTATCTGTTCCCCGCCCATCATCACTGTATTGGTCTAATTCATCATCTTCTTCATCATCAAGATCATCTAGTCCATACTGATTTGGTTTTGGTGCTAAATTCATAAGTAAGTGTAATTCCTGTCGATAGATAGTAGACATTATGGAATTATCAGTAGGATATTCATCACTAACATCTTCGGAAGTAGTAGTAGTAGTGTCATTCACTGAATTATTATTATTAGTTTTAGCACAATACATAGATGGAGTGACTAATAGAACACAAGCTCCAAGTGTAGATAAATATCGAGCTATATTCAACGACAATACTGCACCTAAATGATTAGATCCATTTGATATGATTAGAATACGAGCCGGAGGTCTATGAATAATCCTGAGAAAGGTGAGGTAATAACAGAAGAACAGGGGAAATTTTTTTTATAAAACTCGATTACAAAAATTAAACATTCTTTTCTATAATACCATTAAATAATATGACTAATATGACCTTGTTCTTGTGTTAAACCAATGACACGTCAAAACAGCAAAAGCAACCTGGAGACAACTTGGAGTCTTTATTGGTTTTCCTCGCCTAGCTTTGCCCGTTGAGTTCAAAACACAAATCTCAGCGTCCACTGTATGAATAACGTAGTTTATATAAAAGCAAATCAGACCTAATCACACCATAAAATAGAAAGTAACGATTATACAAGATCAAGTCCAAAGTGGTTGTGAGTGTGAGAAGCTGTAACTAACAGATTGAGAATAACTCAAAAATAGTAAATCGTCTAATGATAGTCAATAGGTCAAATGAAAGCTTATGATAGCAAAAATGCGAATATACATATAATTTAGTTAGTTAACAAATATCCAATAAAAGTATATGTAATAATAATTTCCAACAGTTATCAATCCTTTATTCTTCGTTTGGATATAACACCTTAGTTCTTGAAAATTAATGTAAAGTACATAATGGGATAGAATCTAATCTGTATCGAAATTCTCGTAATAATCTTAAGTTTTATTGTACTTTAAAATATAAGATTGATTTGTCATGCATGATATAAGAAAAGTTAGTACATGTAGTAGTAATGAATATAAGTGAAAGAGTGATTTTGTGATTGAAACATTTAACTTTCAACCATTTTATGACAGGTTTGAACACCGTTTCCCACTAACCAATCAGTTAGTATTAATAAATTTCACTAGACAGATGTACTTTGAAATGGAATGATTATTAATGTAAGGTAGAAAAAAAGAAACACACAATTCTTACCTTTGAGGTGTTCTATTTAATTGACGTAAATGTATCATAATATTATCAATTAGAGGACGAGTAGCAGATTCAATAAATCGACCCCATGTAATACCTTGAAATTTATTACTTATTTGAGTATCTAAATTTAATCCTGTAGTGAAATAATTAAATAAACGTTGACGTTGTTCTAATGGAAATATTGGTACACGTTGTCCTGTACATGTATACCAGTATTGATTATTACGTTGTTTTATAGAATTTATATAATATTGTTTATTATTAACATTAACATTGAAATTATTTCCTTCTGAATGAACTGTTACTGCTGCTGCTAGTGATGGTGATGATGGTGACGATGTAGCTACTACTGAACCAGTAGGATTATGTTGATTAATAGATTTATTATTGGAAGTAGTTATTTGTGTATTGTTTATTTTATGCTTATCTTCATAATGACTACCAGAGGATGTGATAGTCAGTGTTGTTCTAGTTGAAGCTGTCATAGTTGTTATTAAATTAGATGATTGAGTTGGAGTAGCTAAGAGGAAAACAAAGTCAGAGAAGCAGAGAGTAAAAAAGAGAAAGTAAAAACAATGAATAGATAATGGTGAATACAAGCAACGTGACACTTATCTTTGATTAAGTCAGCTAAGTAATTTTTGCCAAATAAACAGTGATTAAATTACAACATAATAAAAATGAACATGAACAATTATTTTATAAAATAAATGATCAAACGGACTAATTTATATAATCATTAATGTATATGATTTATTTAACAAGTCACAGATTTATGTACTTGGGTAATTGTATAGAATTAAAGGGTGGAGGGCAAATGGGGAACAGAGTTTGAATCTGTGATCTAGTAACTGAAAATTTAATTTTTTAAATTAATAAGCTATTACTCCGTCGATCTATGATGTTCAAAATATGAAGTGTAGCCAATGAATACTAACAGAATAATATATACATATTTAATAGTTGAAACCATGAGTCGATGCAAGCTAGACCACCATGGAAAACCTGGAAGCACTGGATGGTCGTTTCGTCCCGCGTGTTCTAGTGAGAAGCCGTGACCAGTAAGTCTAACTGTGTCTGTTGTGAGGCAGTTACACACTGAAGACAATGGTGGACAGTCGTGCAATATCATGAATTGGTTGAGGTTAGACATTAATACCGTTGGATGCCAACTCAGTCGTCTAGAGGTTCAGTGTTCGTGCGTGAGACAAAAGGTCATGGGTTCAAGTCCCAGGCACGAGACCGTGGATGAGCACTGCTGAGGAGTCCCATACTAGGAAGAAACGGCCTTCCAGGTTTTCTGTGATGGTCTAGCTTAAATCGACCCATGAATTCAACTATTAGATTACTACAATCTCCACAAATCCCTATTTCGATATAAATATTTTTCAAATCTTAAATATTTCATTGACTTATTCAATACCAAATGTTTGTGTTTATAAGATAACCAAAAAACACATGAATCACTTACTGAATAGCGGAATTCCAACACCATCTGGACCTTCAATGAAATGTGGTAGAGAAGAAGAAACGGAAGAATTATTCATGTCAGAAGTATTTGTTATTGAATGACCTTCGCGTGAATCAACCATTTCATAGAATGCACTCTTATTAAATAAAGCTAAGTTTCCTTCAAAATCAAAATCTTCATCGATAAATTCTTCAACACAGATCCGATCCCAATCTGCTAAATTTCTTTGACCGCCACTACCACCTCCATTTAGTCCAGTGTTCCCTCCATTCCGATGATTGTGACTATTATTATTGTTATTATCACGTGGGTGGCCGCGATTTTGAGCATGTCGATTAGTACTGCCACTGCCTCCACAGTTGAACTGACCTCTTGATCCTGAATTCGTATGACGATGGAACGAATCACTTTCGGCACCAGATATATCACTTGTCGCGCCAGTTGTTTCTGACGCTAGGTATAGATTTTTTTAAGTGGGAAATTAACCAATGATAATAAAATAATGGTGTTTTACATAAGTACTGAGCTATATTTTGAATTATAATAACAATAGTCCTTTAAATATTTGATAATTGTATAAACTGAGATATATATTTATAGTGCACATCATTTTTTGATAGCTATTTCATACTTTGATAGAATCATTGATTTCCTCCTAATAGCTCAGACGAAATTACTGTGACCGGGTTTCGTCTTAGTTTTGTGATTATAGACGAACAGTGATATTAAGCTAATAATGGTTCCAGTGTTTTGAATTGAAGAATGATGCACGATACGAATGCAACCGAAGACTAACATGTTTTTTCTTAGCAACAACGTAGGACCCGGCGCTAACATGTATACCATTACTAATGTATTAAGCCATATAAGCAGATCAAAACAACCTGGTCGGGATTAGCGTGGTTATCGTAATTAAAAGTTAGTGACTTTGGGTAACATGTCGGAATAGTTTGAAATGGCGATAGTGCATTCACTGTGTCTTTCCTTAGATCTTGAATTTTCTATTTCACTGATTTACATTTTCTTGTCGAATAGTATCTTCGATGCCTAATCTTTTCTCATACTGATATTACTTCTAATACCCTGGGATTCGCCCCGACAATTTCATATCGTACTAATGGAGTATGACTATTTGAACCAATGTATATATGGGCCAGGTTCTATGTTGCATATGACTAACTGACTGATAATATTACTCACTTGCGGAGCAGATGTATGGCCAAAGGCCTAGGAGCACAAATTGTTAGAAATTTAGTATCAATAATTGAAATGACTTGGAAAACTGTAAGCATTATTAGTTGACATAGCATGTGGAGTTTTTATCATGAACTGAAGTCATCTGGGAAACCACTGAAAACCAAGAAGTACTACTTAACAAATTTTTGTCTCATTTCGTGGTTTATTAGAAACCTGGAGGAGATCGAACACATGACCAGTGAAGTTCAACCATAAAGAGTGAGAAAATTATCACCGATGACGTTAAATGACGGTCGCTCTGTATCCCCAAATGACTAGTGTGTGAAATCCAGATCGCTGGATTCCAACTCAATAACCTAGAGGCAATCTAGTAGTGGGGGTAGCACTGTTGAGGAGTCTCAAATTAAGATAGAATAGCTAACTAGTTCTCTTCAACGATCAGTGGTTTTCTAACTGATCTTATTTCACTAAGAAAACTAAACTTTGCATTACTCCGATGACCACAGGACTCGATATTGGGGTGAATTCTTCAAAAGGTATCAGATATTTGAAAAACTGCCAGTTTTGACAAAGCAGAAGGTAATCAATCTCAAAAACCTGACTTACTTGAATAACTGCGGCGTTTGGAATGACGTTGGTTATTAACACCATACTTACGAGCTGGACTTAAGTCATTTGGTTCGCGAATGGAAGCTTTCCCCAATGCATTGTCTAACAGTTGTAAATCGTTTGAGTGTCCAAAACCGTTATTAATATCATTAATGTTACTACCAGATCCTGGCGCACCAGCTGTCTTATGAATGATAGGCGGTGAGTCAGGACATACATAAACACTGCAAGCGTTGGGAATGTTTCTTAACCATTCTCGACGTTGTTCGCGTGAAGAATTAGAGGACTTATTTGGGCATTTAACCGGTGTATCACTACCTGAGGATTCACCGTCACTTGCAGTTGAAAGAATGCGAATATTTTGGATGAATCTACTCCTGTAAAACCGAAATAGACAATTGTTGACATCTGGTAATATGTACATTTGTATATTAAAAATATGAAACATAATGGGAACGGACGTTGAGAGTAGTATGTTATTTAAGAATATGAGGTATATGATCATATTAAAATGATAAATATCAATTTTATGACTAGAGAAATGCATCTATTATGAAACGTATAGATATATCAAAGAAATTAGGGAATGACTTAAACGTACGAGCTTGTTGACACCGTAAACCAACAACCAGTATTCTTTCAATGGTCACGTACAGGGATTTTGTCTTCACACGAGCACCAATGAGTGAGTTAGAGCTTACAGCAAACTGCTATCTGAAGTAGTGACTTAAAGTGGTGTTCGCTAAGGCTACTCACAATATTTGTTTTCGTCAGATCCTCCTAGAAATAACATACTTTGTTTACCCTTTAAGGAATTGAACTCCATCCTGGAAACTCGCTAGTTGACCTGGGGGGCACACAGATGGTGAATATACTGACAAAATGCAGTCTATGGTGTTCCTGAACAAAGATGTTGCTTCAGAACTAGTCTAGGATGTGAATTTATGAAGTTAGTTTGGATTTGGTAACTTGTGATGAAGGCGAAACAACAGGCAGGTATACTATGTCGCAGTTTGCACTGTAACTCCGCCTGGAGTCCCTCTAGGGCTACTTCCAGTCTCAAGCCCGGATAAAGGAGGAGGATCAGACATAGGGTTAGCGACCCCATCCCGTCGAAAACTAACTTGCTAAAAAAAATGCTGACCAGAAAAAAATAATTTAAACCATTTAAGCGCTACGCTGTGAGTTAGGTCTTCATTTAGAAGAGTTATGATGCCTCTTGGTGAAAGCCGAGTTCCTTCGGAAGTCGAGGCTGACGCGCCTTCTGACAACCAGGGCAGCCATTAATTTAGGTACATGGAATGCTTGTACAATGTGGGGGACTGAGAGTCTTCCAAACTGATGCAGAAATGAAGAGATACAACCTGTAGGTGCTTGGAATCAGTGAAACACATTGGACGCAGGTTGGACAAAAACGACTAGATTCAGTGGAACTTCTGTTATACTCCGGCCATGAAGAAAACGTCCCATATACACAAGGAGTTGCATTGACGCTATCAAAACAAGCACAAAATGCACTTATACGATGGGGATCTCATGGAACAAAGATAATCAAAGCCTCCTTCAAAACAAAGAAATGGGGCATTACAATGAACGTCATCCAATGCTATGCGCCTACCAACGACTACAATGAAGACGCTAAAGATCAATTCTACAAAACGTTGCAGTAAGTCGTCGAGAAGTGCCCACCAAAGGACTTGTACGATCTACCGTGAGCAGTGGTGGGCAACGAAAGCAAAAGAGATGGAAAAGGCGGTGGCTATAGGGAACACAAGACAGCTCTACAGACTAATAAAAGAAACTGGAATTAATAAGTCAAGTGTAAGTCAGACTATTTCGGAAAAAGACGACACCCTCATCTGCTCTCAGTCCAGACGTTTAGAACGATGGGCGTAACATTTCAGAGAACAGTTCAACTGGCCTTCAGCTACTCTACAACTACCCTCCATTCCCAGACAGTGTGAATGGAACATTGAAGTAGGTCCCCCAACTCTAGCAGAAGTTCAAAAGGCTATAGTTAATCTGAAACGAGGAAGGGCAGCTGGTCCAGATGGATTGACTCCAGAGGTCTTCAAGGATGGTGGTCCAATTTTAGCGATTAGGTTGACTAATATTTTAGCTAAGATTTGGGAGTTAGACGTTATTTCATCTGACTGGTCACAATCACTTATCGTCCCAATATATAAGAGAGGGTCAAAATCATCCTGTGACAACCATAGAGGGATTAGTTTAATATAGTATCTAAAATACTAGCCTCGATAATTATCAGACGCTTAACTAAGACTCGTGAACTGCAAACACGAGAGAATCAAGCTGGCTTCAGACCTGGTCGTGGCTGCATCGAACACATTTTCACCATTCGTCAGGTTCTAGAACACAAGCATACTTATCGGTGTCCGATAATGGTGGTCTTTCTTGACTTAAAAGCAGCATTTGACTCGGTAGACCGCGAGATTCTGTGGCAGTGTCTGTCATTGAAAGGCGTACCTCAGATGTACATAAACCTTGTGAAGGCTCTTCACTCGAACAGTACCAGTCGAGTCAGAGATTATGGCGAACTGTCATCTGCTTTTGCAACCTCAAGTGGTGCCGTCAAGGCTGTCCACTTTCTCTATTTTTGTTTAACTTCATCATAGATCTACTGATGGAAATAACTTTCTCGTCGACTGAGTTCTCGGGTATTGATCTCCATCCAGGAGGTCCAATTATCGACTTAGAATACGCAGATGACATAGTCCGGTTTGGTGAAGACGCTGATAAAATGCAGAGTCTTTTGGTAGCACTAAGCAACAATGCCAGAATGTTTGGAATGCGCTTCTCTCCCTCTAAATGCAAGTTGTTGCTTCAGGACTGGTCTGCGTCAACACCTGAACTAAGGATAGCGAGTGAAGTAGTCGAACGTGTTGAAAACTTCACTTATCTTGGAAGTTTGATCAGCCCTAATGGGTTGGTGTCTGACGGAATCTCAGCACGGATTCGAAAATCTCGCTTGGCTTTTGCCAACTTACGTCACCTGTGGCGAAGGCGAGATATCCGTCTATCAATAAAAGGACGAGTATACTGCGCGGCAGTCCGTTCTGTTTTAATTTACGGCAACGAAACATGGCCATTAAGAGTAGAAGACACTCGTAAGCTACTAGTATTTGACCACAGATGTCTCAGAAATATTGCTGGCGTCTGCTGGGATCTAATGATGACGGTGGAAAAAACAATAGAAGGAAACATGAGACAACTGTATGACACAACAAAGAAACTCTCTGGAAATCGCCGCAAACCAAAACGACCAGTGAAAAGCAAGGAAGGCGAGGTAATCACCAACATTGAAGGGCAACAAAACAGGTGGGTAGAACACTTCAAGAACTCTTGAATCGACCAGCTCCATTGAACCCACCCAACATCGAAGCAGCACCCACGGACCTCCCAACCAATGTTGGCCCACCAACAATTGAAGAAATCAGCATGACCATCAGACAAATCAAGAGTGGCAAAGCATCGGGACCAGACAACATTCCAGCAGAGTCACTGATAGTAGACGTAGCGGCAACTGCGAGGATACTCTACATTCTCTTCAATAAGATTTAGGATGAGGAACAAGTACCAACAGACTGGAAAGAAGGACTTCTGGTCAAAATACCAAAGAAAGGCGATATCAGCAAGTGTGATAACTATAGAGACGCAAACACAGTATCTGTCGTTTAAAATGACAGTATGTTGCTCATTGAATTATTGAGCCTCGATAGCCAATAACGCGTTTAATAAGTATAAAATGTTTGATCGAAGAGTGTCTGATGTATAAAATCATGTGAATTAAGTAAGAAATAGTAAAATGAGATGAGTACCAATTAAATTCCTTATGTATTCATAAAAATAATAACAATAGTAGTAGTAGTAATAATAATAATAATAATATAAGTAATGGTAATAGTACATCAACTTCATTGACTACGAGAAAGCATTTGATAGAGTGGACAGAACAACACTATGGAAACTTCTTCGACACTACGGCGTGCCTGAGAAGATAGTCAATATCACACGGAATTCCTATGATGGATCAAACTGCGAAATCGTGCATGGAGGAAAATTGAGAGTCTCGTTCGAGGTAATGACCGGTGTCAGGCAAGATTGCTTACTCTCACACTTTCTCTTTCTCCTGGTGATCGACTGGATCATGAAGACATCAACATATCGGGAGAAGCATGGGATACAGTGGACAGCTAGGATGTGGCTGGACGATCTAGACTTCGCTGATGATCTGGCTCTTCTATCGCAAACGCAACAACAAATGCAAGAAAAGACGACCAGTGTAGCAGCAGCCTCAGCCGTAGTAGGTCTCAACACACACAAAAGGAAACGATTCTCCGATTCAGCACAGCATGCAACAACCGAATGACTTGACGGAGGAGATTTGGAAGATGTAAAAACCTTTACATATCTGGGCAACATCAGTGATGAACACGGTGGATCTAATGCAGATGTGAAGACGCGGATCGACGGAACAACAGCAGCATATTTACAACTGAGGAACATCTGGAACTCAAAACAACTGTCAACCAACACCAAGGTCACAATTTCAATACAAATGTCTAGACAATTCTACTACATGAGGCTGAAACCTGGAGAACTACAAAAGCCATCATCCAGAAGATACAAGTGTTTATTAACAGCTGTCTACGCAAAATACTTCGAATCTATTGGCCAGACACTAACAGCAACAACCTACTGTGGGAAAAAACAAACCAGATCCTAGTGGAGGAAGAAATGAGGAAGAAGTGCTGGAGGTGGATAGGACACACATTCAGGAAAACAACCAACTGCATCACAAGTCAAGCCCTCGTTCGGAACCCTCAAAGCCAAATGAGGAGAAGAATAGCAAAAAACACATTACGCCGGGAAATAGAGACACATGAGAAAAATCAACAAAAATTAGATAGAACTAGAAAGGAAGACCCAGAACAGAGGGTGTTGGAGAATGCTGGTCGGTGACCTATACTCCACTGTGGTGGTAACAGATGTACGTAAGTTTGTACCGTATTTATATACGGTTATGATAAGGACAGAGCAGACGACATGTGTAGGCTGCATGTTTTTGACCACATATCTTTGAGGCACTCGAGTATGATTGAACAAAGGGGCGGATAATAGAGAGTGTATGTTGGTTACCAGGATAATTAGTTGAGGCTGAGTCTCCATCGACTAAAATGGTCAAGGTATGTATTAAGTGCGCCTAACCACCACAACCATGGCGTACAGTGGTGGTTGGGACAAGAGGTTATAAATGAGCTAATGATGGTCGATTCTATAAGTGGCATCAATCTATGAGGTCAGTGACTGAGTTCATACACTTTTTAAACTCACACTATAATCCAGCTGAAGATTTCGTCTGAGTTGGGTTCTTTGAGCTCTATGGCTACGCTTACGCAATGCACACCATGAGATCTTAAGAATCTTAAAAGCATAGCCTGTGTAATTTGAGACCACACAGTCAGCAATGCCAAAGTTAAACATACGCCACTAGGTAAACGCAACAAAAAATTGATGAGGCAATGACTTTTCATCAATTAAGTTAGTTTGGACATGTGTTATAAATGAGATGGTGGAGATTTGTAGCTCAGGTGAATGATTTTGGAGTTTTGTTGAGCTCAGAGAATAAAACCACGAAAAGTGTGTTATACATGCCCAACCACTGGCTACCTCGACGGACAGTGTCCTCTGGTGTAAGAATAGGTTAGGGGAAAGCTAGGACCACTCAAACCCATACCTAGAGCCAGTCCATGAAGCCATTGACAACTAGACTGAACCATATTAATACGTGTAAACCACCTGGTTATTGTCCGCGTGATCATCGTAACCAATGATTAGAGATTATTTATTTGTGATTTAAACACATAAACATTGGTATAAGGAGGCACCAAACAGATATGCGCCACATAAATCATTCGATTTATGTGGTTAGAGGATTTAGGTGGAGTGGGTCAGAATTGTTCACAATGATGCCTTTGTATTGTCTCTTTGTCTCGTCCTAGAACCTTAATCTTGAGATCTCGTTATACTGTTTTTTCCTTTACCTAGTCTTTTGTAGCACCACTGATATCGTTACTAATTTTTCTACTACTGTGGGATTTGTTTTGAAATAATTTTGCCTCACTGTGTTAATGTGGCACGAGGACTTGAACTGATGCACAAGTGTCCGATTCTATGTTGCCTATGACTGACTGGTTGAATTATTGTTTTATAATTAACAGTTTAAATTACTTAATGATGTTATTTATCTGAGCAGTATTCTATGTCTAAGTTGGTAGCTTGAGATTGTTGTTATTTTCTGAGTTTTCAATAAGCTACATCTGGAGAGTACTTTTTCGTGGTACATTGTTTATTTGGCGATACCATAATTTATGGACGAACCAATCAGACCTAGGTCAGCAAGTCTTGGATTTTGGCGCGAAATTCATGAGTTAATTCGACTGAATAGCATTTTGGCGTTATAACTGATGTCTGTTTGTGATGAAAACATTTAATGTAATTCCTTAACTCAACGTTCAACTGTAAATCGTAATCATAACTCCTCACACAAATTTACGTTTATTGAGCCCTAGTAAGTATTTGGACATTTTCAAGTTCGATTTAACGTCGCTGAAAGGTCACCCATAAATTTTGGCTTGATCAAGAAAGTGTATAACGAAATGGAAACAGTGCGTCTGTTGCTAGGTAAGACAAACTATGAATTCATTTACAAACAGGTGTTTGTATCCACGTTCTGTGTCACATACTACTGACCATCAGAATCACCCTAATGCTATTATTATCTTTAAGTCATCAAGAAAAGTGGATTAATGAAGCAAATTTTAGTGAAAAATAATGATGCAGGTTTTTGAAAAACTTATGAAGTGGAGACGATATTACTGTCAGTCAGTCGGTCAGCTAGCTACAACCTAGGACCAGGCACATTTATGCATCGGTCCAAGTTGCCATACCTCATTAACACAACAAGATGAACACCGGATTCATAAAAGTAGTTAATGCAGAGGGGTAATATATAAGAGAAAGATTGCATATAGAGATATAGTACAAGAAGAAAGAATTAGTTGGTAGAAAGAAAGATATGAAGCAATTTTAATCTCTTAGTTCAAGGAAAGATAGAGAGTGTATACACCGACGCCATTGTGATCGATTCTGAGTCATGTCACCAAGAGTCTCCAAACATTGGTTACGACAGTCACGCGGACCCCAACCAAGTAGTCTGCATCTACCTACATGGCTCAGACTAGAAGTTAGTGACTTCAAGCACTGATGCCACGTTTTGGTTTGGCCGCCCCTAACTTTCAACAATACCAAACACCGGTTAGCATTTCACGTCGTGGTAATCGGTGTTCAGGCATACGTAACACTTCGCCCAACCATCTCAGTCGATGAAGATTCACAACCTCATCGACTGATTTACCATCCTTCCCTAATACCCTGCGTCTAACCTCACTATTACTTACCCGGTGATCCCAGCAGACGCCAGCAATATTTCTGAGACATCTGTGGTCAAATACTAGTAGCTTACGAGTGTCTTCTACTCTTAATGGCCATGTTTCGTTGCCGTAAATTAAAACAGAACGGACTGCCGCGCAGTATACTCGTCCTTTTATTGATAGACGGATATCTCGCCTTCGCCACAGGTGACGTAAATTGGCAAAAGCCAACATTACTGTATACGTGAGGAGTGAATTAACAGCCTATAAATACCTTACATTTTAAGACCAGCTCCCTCAGACACGAGCTCTGACTCCAAGTTAACTATTATGTAAATGGAGTTACAATAATACGCAGGAAGACCGCTTTCAGATAACTATCTGAAATGTTTTAGGCGACCAGACTAGTTTATTGGTAGTGACATGAAAAACTCCTATAGCAGTACCATAAACACGGGTGACTCATAGTAAGTTGGTGGGTAAAGCACACACTTAGCTTAATATAAAAACACTAACATGTGCATAGAAAAGTATGAAATGAAACAATAGGGGAACTCACTCGACAGCAAACGAAGGGATAGTAGGAGGATAATTGTTGATCACTGCATTGGTAAGGCTGATCTTATTTTCGCTAACATTTGAGACAACACCAACAATTTTCCCAAGTTGAGATGACGTCAACTCAACCTTAAATCCAGTATATTGGCTAGTCATCGAGACACATTCAAATCAATATATTACCCCGCGTCTTGACTAGCGCTATTTAAACGCTCGATTTTCGAATACCAATAGCATTTAAATTGCTGCCAGATCTTAAATTGCTGATTTCATTTTTTTGTATCATTATTTTCAACAAAAATTTATTTCATTTAATGTAGTCATAAAACTGGCTCATGAACGTTATTCATGTAAAAGAACTGGTTGGAACCTATACATTACGGTTGATAAATTATTGACAGGTGAGCGTTATCTTAGGTCTTCTAGCGGAAATTATTTGTTGTTAGATAGTTTTCTTCACGATTCGGGAAATCAAATATCAGAAGTACCGGAGAACTCATTCGAGTAAAATTTAGTTGATACTGTCTCAATGTATGTTCTGTTAAATGTTAAAGAAACAACGAGATACTAGACTTATTTAACGTCATGGTTAGTTGAACCTAAAGTGGGCTACTCAGTCGCACTCTTAATTTTTTAGCACATTCCTCGAAGTATGCCTGTGCTAGTTAGATCAGCAGGACAATGTGGTGCATCAGCTTCTTTGTTATTACATGCTCATATGATTTATCCTAATTTTTGAAGACTTTATTAACTCAAGAAGCATGTGGTTAACGAACCGTTATTGCATTACCCAGACTTTTTTAGCTAATAGATTTTGTAGAAATACATGTCTTACTGAAGTAATCGAGACACTAATACATACCTGAATGCAATGGCCATTCAAGAACTTTAAATCCTTGAACTAATAAATAAAGATGCTAGAAAAAAAGTGACAGGAGAAAATGAAATATATTTCAAGCTACCGAGGAAGCTAAGACTTCTCACGGAACCCTTGAATATACGTTTTGATTTTTCAGTAACGCAAGGTAGGTTATGAAGTAACTGTAAGGATGTTTATAGCATGTCTCGTTTTGAAAACATTTTTTAATCTAATCCTGGTAATTATAGTCCTGTTAGCCTGACCAGATTAGTTGCTAACATTTTAACGTAGCTTATTTTGGAAAGATTATTGAAGTATTTGATGTGAACGTTAATAGATTTTACGAATCACCATTGATTTGTAACGTACTATTCGGCTGAATAATATATCGCACTTGTATTGGTAATACTTCAAAAGAAATAGTTTCGCAAGTCTTCGACATTGTGTCTGGCTCTACTAATTTTAATGGACACACTCTTAACTGGAGGTTTTCAGCAAACCACCTTTGCCGACCTAGTTTTGTCTCTCGTTTGCTGCATATAGCTTACGATATCTAGTTAGCTTAGGTCGCACATACTTCAAGAATTCAAATATAATGTCTTCTCACCCATCACTCTCGAGTTCTATTTTGGTTCTCACTGTAGCTATTGTAAAAAAAGAAGTTTCGGGTGGTAGCTTTGACAATCAATGGTCATCCCTATTACCTACATACCTATTTTTCCGTTGCTATGTAAAAACAGATTGTCTCATTTTTTCGTCGACCTACCAGTCAAATTAGCCGTATGTCTGAATGATCTTTCTTTTGATGACTGTGAGTATGTAGTGGCATTGGACAATAGCCACACAATCCACAAAGCTGTGAACACGAGACTACTCAGGAAATAGATATTCAATATTTAACGCGGAGAAATACCTAACGATGGAGAAGGCGCGAACAATGAATTGAATGGACTGGAGTTGATCGTATGGCATGGCTCGGCCATGCAGGCGTGGTCCATCTCAATGTTACTTTATATCTTCTATTCATATTAAATATATTGTTCTTTCTCTAGCCTAACCTTGTTCTACATCATGTATTGGTAATTGATACGATACAGTGAGTTGGTGTAGTCGATGGTGTGACTTCCACGTAAGATCTTATAGATTAGGCAGTTATATCATGACAAATCTACAAATTTAGGATTAGGTCTATTATTAGAGCAGTACTAATATCATAGTAGACCATAATTCTACATTGGTGAGCCCAACTAAAGAAACGCAACCTATTATTATTAATCCTTATTTCCACTTCAACTTTCTCGATCGATTTTATATTTATGTTAACCCTGTATTCTAATAGTCCTCTGATTAATGCTCACATGCATTATCGTAATGTTATATTGATTAGTCCTCATGACAAACTAGCTCAATCGATAATAAAAACTGGTCGTCTATATTAACTAATTAGCTTTGATGGTTCGTTAACAAGCTTTAATAGCATTTACATGCTTCAGCGACATAGTCTTGTTTAAACATCAAGCTCTAGCAAATATGACCTGTAAATAGCGTAAATATACATTGACTAACAATGCGATCAAGGACTAAATAGTTATCTGGATCTAATTCTCAGTGTTCCTTCACTTAACACCTCATCCTGTTTTAAACTATGCACTATCCTGTAATATCTTTTCTTCCGACCACTGCCTGCCTAATTTCATATTCTCGAGTTCCATTGCCAAACAACAAGGATGACACTACTCCAAAAACATACGGTGAGTTTCAGCTATAAGTTTTCTGCAATCATAAGGCATTTTAGATGGTTCGTTCAATGACACACACAATTATCTGGATTCATTCGATTGTTCTGATCCGAGCGAGTGTCAAAAACCTCAACAGCATCAAGCACCCTGGAATTAATTGCCATACTGCATGTTTTATTCTGGATGCTTTTGGATCATTACTACTCACGAATGGCGTTATATATGTCGTCCACTGAATAATCTAATTTTCAAAAATAACCCAGGCGAGTTCAACTATTTTACTTAATGACTTTTTGTACTTAACATGTATATGTTTTCTAGTTGCTTTTGCCATATATTTGTAAGTGTCCCTAGGCTAAATGCATTAACTTCTTACGGAATGTTTATAACGCGTCATATTCCTGCCTGAAGTTTCATAAGCAGTCTTAACTTTAAAATTATCTTTCTGATCATGTTCATTATTTTCAAATTGTCATATACGTCAACAACCTGCATGTTAACCTGGCCCATACATGCGTTGCACTATATCTTCATGTCTTCTAAATTTAGAAATCATTTGAATCACCTTTAACATTTATCGATAAACCCATCATAGTCGTTGTTGCTAATCGTATTTGGGTTTATGGATTAGCCTAAAATGCGAACATAGTTTAGATAATAAGATTAAAAATTTAGGTACTATCAACTGCACTAGTAAAATAACTAAATCCTCAGGTAGCTGTTGGCTAAACAAACGTTTAGAATCAAAACTCCGTAGCCTACTAGAATTAACACTAAACGAATATTTCTGAATTAAAATTTATAATTAAATTAGGCGTCTCGGATTCTTTAACGTTATAAATTTCTGATAATTTCGAATCACCTAAAGCAACAATACCTATTTTTCCACTGACTAATCCTCATTCAACACTATAACTAGTTAAACATAATAGTTTCAGGATATCGTCATAAAGCATTGTCATGACTTGACAATCACGTAATATGATTGATAAAATTAATGAAACTATTAACAAAATCGGTCAGCGAATTGACTTATAACTATCACTAGTGTTGTTTTTCTTTTATCTTCATTCACTACAGATGATTACAGTATTTTTCTCTATCAGACGCTCACTCAGTAAATATCTCAAAACCTTGTCAGTCTAATTGATGGTTTAGCGACACAATCATGCATGCAAATAATCAGTATAAGCAGTCGAGCAAATCTCCTGCAAACTGAAAACATCAATGTCGAATTTACCCCAACACTGACTAAGGTTCAAGCCATTATCATAGACATGAGTTGGGAGTGTACTCCCCTTGGTTACAACTTATGTACTCCCTGATAATCACATGAGCATCACTCACTGTTAATCATCTTGTAAAAACTTATTTAGCCGAATACATCTTGCAGCACCACATCAACTAGTAATGTGACACATAAGCTTCACTGATTTCAATAACTTATAATCACCATATCTCAATTAAATCGTATTCCGCCTTATGATAAACTGCATACTTGCAACTAACTTGTATGCATCATCAGCGGTCAGGTATAAATATGTATAAATAGTCTATCGCAGATCAGAACATTGAGTCTAGAGCATGTCTCTTACGAATACACTCATGTTTAACGATTTGTTCCTAGCTATCTGTCCAAAATTCATATAATTATCACTCATGTATTTAAATTTTGTTTTGATAACCATTCATGTGTATTAGTAGTATTACTAAATTCTATCACGGTCAAGTAAAAATGAGGTTGAGGAAATCTCCCCGTAACTAAATAAACCGTATCAAACTAACTGGAACACTAGTTGGAATTCTTCTCCACGGTATACTTTTGTTCCTTCAGTTAGCCTACTAATACAGATGCAATTGGAATTCAACTCATATGGACAACTTACCGGCATAATCGTTATTTGATTTCATAATTTAAACCAAAACTAATACCAATATTAACATTTCTACAATATTCATTACTTTAATATTTCTAAACACAATATACTTACTACCTATACGTTAAGTTATTAACACGCATCGTTTTATTATTATTATTGTAACCCCATTTTTTATAGTTCAAATAATCTTCAACCAAATTTTCATTTTAAGCGTGTTAATCATGAAGGCAGATATTTTAAGATTATTACATGTATTTCCCGACCAGATGCTGCCGCCTTCTTTTTGATTTATCTTTCAGCTTACCAATACCCGGAGGATTCTTATTATCCTTGGTAACCTCCGGCGCGCGACGATCCCATCCAATTTGGTATCGAACCAACATCACGTTGATTCTGGTGGGAGAGTAGTGTAGTGGCATTGGACAATAGCCACACAATCCACAAAGCTGTGAACACGAGACTACTCAGGAAATAGATATTCAATATTTAACGCGGAGAAATACCTAACGATGGAGAAGGCGCGAACAATGAATTGAATGGACTGGAGTTGATCGTATGGCATGGCTCGGCCATGCAGGCGTGGTCCATCTCAATGTTACTTTATATCTTCTATTCATATTAAATATATTGTTCTTTCTCTAGCCTAACCTTGTTCTACATCATGTATTGGTAATTGATACGATACAGTGAGTTGGTGTAGTCGATGGTGTGACTTCCACGTAAGATCTTATAGATTAGGCAGTTATATCATGACAAATCTACAAATTTAGGATTAGGTCTAT